TAACCTCGAGCTTTGTGGTCAGCCCTGGTATCAGACCTTGTGATCAAAGCCCGGTATCAGAGCCCGGGCAGTGGCGCTGGTTGTTTACTACCAGGCTGTGCTCTGATTGGTCAGTGCCCTTGACTTCTATTGTCAAATATTTTGGGTCACCAGGCTTTGCACAGATTATTTCATTAAATCCTTACAAGCTTATTAGGTAGTAACTGTTTTTATTCCCACTTTTACAGATAGGGGAGCACAGATGGGTGAAGGAACTCATCCCAATGGGAGAGCCGGGTCTTGAACCTGAGCCCAGCTGCCCCTGAGCCTGTCCTCTCAGCCACCACCCGTCCCCGAACATCCTAACCAGCTGCAGCTTCCGCACAGTAAGGTGTGAAGACATAAAGCTCAGATTGAAGTAAGGGATTGTGGGGGCGGGGGGAGGCAGCTGCTCTCTCAGACCACGGCAGCCCCAGTTTCTACACGGAACACTCCCAATTCGGAAGCCAGGACAGGACCCAAAGCTCTTGGGAATTGGGCTGATTCTTTGTCCCCTCCCCATGCCAGGAGCAGATCCAGCCAGCTGTGCCATCCGGGCTGGTCACCAAACACGTCTGGAGCCTCTGCTGGTTGCCAGGCATGACTCCAAAAGCAAGCGAGGCTCAGGCCTGGCCTTCAGAGCATCGGGAGCTTCTTGTCCCTCTCTGGCCTCAGATGCTCCTGCTAAGAGGGGCCAGCTTCAGGCTTTGTCTTTTCTTTCTTTCTTTTTTAAACATTTATTTATTTGACAGAGAGAGCACGAACAGGGGGAGCAGCAGGCAGAGGGAGAAGCAGGCAGAGGGAGAAGCAGACTTCACACTGAACAAGGAGACCAATGCGGGACTCGATCCCAGGAGTCTGAAATCACGACCTGAGCCGAAAGCAGAGGCGTCACCGAATGAGTCACCTAGACGTCCCCAGGCCTTGTCTTCATTTGATGCCCCCACCGTGTCCTTGAAGTTCCTGCCCTCTAGGCTGATGACCACCGTGCCAATGGTCAGGGAGAAATCCAGACTCACGGGATGCAGGGGACAGCTTAGGGCCACAGCCATCTCTTCACACTGGGCGCTGCAGCTGGTCCGGGCCTCCAGGCCATAGCCAGTGGGTGTGAGGACTGAGATTGGCCGGGGAGGGAGGGGAGCTCCAGGCTGTAGCAAGACAGTCAGGCCCATGATGCCTGGGCCTTGGACCCAACCCCATCCATCCTGTCCCCTCTGCTGATGCTCTTGGCTCAGTACTAGGTGGTGAGGAGCTTGTGGGGCAAGGTCCTGAGGCCCAGCATGTCTAACAGAGAGGGTAGCAGGGGAGTGGGGGCTAATGGAGCCCGGGTATCACCTCCATGGGGACGTGCACAGTCCCTCACACACCCCTTAGCAAAACACCACCCAAAACCCCCTAAGCTTGCAGCCCACCAGCCTCCCTTCCCAGAGCCCTTCCACCTTTTTTTTTTTTTTAAGATTTTATTTATTTGACAGAGAGAGATCACAAGTAGGTAGAGAGACAGGCAGAGAAAGAGGGGGAGGCAGGCTCCCTGCCGAGCAGAGATCCTGACGTGGGGCTTGATCCCAGGACCCTGAGATCATGACCTGAGCCGAAGGCAGAGGCTTTAACTCACTGAGCCACCCAGGTGCACCCCAGAGCCCTTCTTGTCAGTAGTATTGCTGGTGCCTGAGATGGGCTTCTCCTTTTCTGGCCACCCTCTATTCCACTATGTGCATTCCAGAACTACAGCTTTCTGATCGAGAGCTGGCAGCCGCTGGGGAGAAGACCCCAGACGCTGGCGCCCTTTCCAAGTCATGTATAATAACCTTATAGCCCCTTCAGGGACCACAGCCTCACCAAAGCTCCCCTGCCCTTGCCTCCCTGGTAGAGGAGGTGACTGCAGAACTCTTAGCTTCCTCCCTGGGGAAAGGCGATGGTGGAGAAGGAAGGTCCTCTGCTCAGGGCAGAAGCCTAAGAAATGCTGCTCCTGGTTGTGCCTGGCTAACAGTCCTGGCCCCTGGCAAACATCAGGCATGATGCTCAGGCAAGGAAACCAGAAAGGGCAGGGGGCACATCACAGAGAAGTCCTATGATGCTGTTTGGAACAATGTTGGTGTCTGAGTGGGACCCTTCACTGCCAGGGGCTGCTGGGCCGTTAGCAGAGCCATGGAGAACAAGGACCCCTAGGAGGGAGGACAGAGGCTCTGGTCCTGCCTTACAGCACAGTCCTCTATGTATAAACTCAAAGCTGTCCCAGCTGCACCCACCTCGGCCTACAGCCTTGCCCATTCTCCACACGTGCTGACAAAGGGCTCAGGGAGCCAGAAGGCCAGCCATCTGGCCCAAGAGGGCACTTTCAGCCTTCTCCCTGGGGGTGGTTTGGGATTTGGGTCGGCAGCCTGGGCAGGGGCTTGGCTCTTCCTTCCTTCCCCTAGCCTTGGCCTCAGGAAGGCAGCTGGAAGGCCAGCTGTTTGTGCTGAAGTTCCTGGCTAAAAGCCAGGCCCAGCTGGCTGGACATCCCTGAGGAATGTCCACAGGGGCAGGTGCGACTACCATTGGGCTGAGGGAAGGAAGAGGCTGTGGGGCCCAGACAAGGCAGGCCAACTGCGTTCTTGCAGTGCCTGGGGTGGGACTGATGGTGGGACATGGGCTGTGATCGCCTTGGCAAGGTTACTATGAAGTGCTCCCAACCCAAGGGATGGAGAGGTAGGGGTGGGGACCGGATGTGCAGGGTGGGGACTCAAGGCTCTTATGCCCAGTGGACCACAGTACCACCAGTGAGACAACAGCTGCAGACGGGTGTGGTGAAAACTGTGCACCTCGCCCTTCTCCATGGCAGGCGAGGTTGGCCACAGGCCTGAGCCTCTGATCTCTGGCCCTCAGCTGTTGCCCTGAACACAGGATGGCCCCGTTGGCAGGAAATAAAGGGCAAGCCCAAGTCTCCCACCAGCCCAATGGCAGACAGCTAGCTGGACTGCACCTACCCTCTACTACCCTACCTGCAAGTGACCTAGAGGGGCCTGCTTTCCCACTGCTGCAGAGACCCCCGCCCCAATGCCCACCAGGCAAGAGGCAGTGCTTTCAAGGAGCCAAGTAGGAAAGACCCCTGAGGAATGACTGAGGAAATGAATGGGAAAGACTAAAATTTCCAGTCCAGCCAGTGGGCTCAGGGTTTGTTTTTCTACATTTGGAGACATTGGAGACGTTGGTCAGGCCCCTAGGGGGTTGGGGAGGCCTGGCAAGGGGCATAGGATGGTTCTTGCTGGCCTCTCCCAACTGCTCTCCTTCCTTTCTGGCAAGGCGACAGGGACCAGTTGATTTATGTATGGGCAGATCTCTGGAAGTCAGCCAAGTTTGACGTCCTTGCCTCTCTGGTGGTTTTCTTCCATATCACCTTAAATTCTGTAAATAGGATGTAACTTCTGTGTGGTGTCTAAATCATCTAGTCTACCTACTGACCAGCTTATGGATGAAGCAGGGATATTTTACGACCTAGCACCACAGGTGCCTGGCAGAGAAAAGAGGCAGTGAAAGGTGAGACAGGACGGAGCATGGAGGGAGAGCAATGGGGGTCACCCTCATGAGGGTGGACCTGGCTTGTGACCAGCAATTTCACAAACACCTTCGGCTGCCTTCTGAAGGGCACAGGCTAAGAGCTTCAAGACAAGGGCAATGAATGGCTTGGTTCAGAATCTCCTGGTAGCGGGCCAGAGTGCTGGCACTTCCAGCCCTTAACTGGTCTGATCGAAACCAAGTCCGTGGACAGTCAAGAAATGCAATTATTAATACACAGGTTCACCAAGCATCACTTGGCCCTGTCCAAAGCAAATCGTGACACGGATCACCTCTCAAAATAGGGGGTCTGCCTGTCATTACCGAAAGCACCCCGCCCCCGGAGTCAGAAAGCAATATTCCAGACATTTCCCCACAGGAAATTTTATTTGTGAAATAGAGGTTATCGATTCAAATGAAGACCACTAACAAAGATGAAAATCTCAACTTCAAAGACTTTATTTTTGTCTCATCCGTCAAGGGCACAGGATACCTTCATCAGCTCCAGCTTTTGCTTTTCTCCTTACAGATTGTTCCATCACCTAAACCCAGGGTTATCCTGTGTGGGCAGCTTCCTAGAACCAAAAGATATTTTTGCCTTCTGGGTTAAGAATGCTCAAGCAAGTCTGGAAGCACAAGCTGCACTATTTAAAGCAGCAAATTCCCAGCTGCCCAGTAAAACCCACAGACCTCTACGTCAGATGTAGGGAAGATGCGCTGGGGGAGAAGGTTCAAGTTTCACTCCGCTTGGGTCATCACAACTAGTAAACTCAACTGACATCACCAGAGTGAAGTCGGTCTATTCGAACTCAAGACACTGCCAGGTACAGTCCACAGCACATTAGGCCGTCCAGGATCGCGACGTCCTTCAGAAGCACAATGTTGGATCATCGCAACTGGGAAGTCACTGTTCCAGAGCTGGTTACAACGAACCTTCTAGAAAACCAGCTCTTTCTATATTGGACTCCACCTCTGATGCGTCATGGAGGCTCATTAAGTTGCCAAGAATCAAACCTATTCTAGCTTGCCTCTCTCCCTAAGTCCTTTGAATTTGAAACCAAACATTTTTAAAAAATGAAGCTACTTTATTAGGGCACAACTATCTTTCTATAGCTACCAGCTCCAAATACACAGAATGCTTGTCTGATGACCGGTGTGGCTCTTGTGCCCATGTCTTGCTGACATCTAGATACTATGCATACAGCGTACCATCAATGGTTAAGAAAACTAGCTTTATACTGAAAAAGCAGCTTAAACCAACAAGGAGTTTTAAACTTGTTAAAATAATTTGTATAAAGAAATTTCATAATTATTTTTGTGTATAAATGGTTCCTTTGTCTACCGAGCAAAACCAGGTATAAACTAAGCTCAAACTTCAGGATACAAAGAATCTAGATAATGGATGTATTTAAGCTTTGTATACTCAAATGTAGGTTTTTGACACTTGCTTGAATAAACAAGTTTATTTGTAAATTTAGTCAACATACATAATTGACCTGAAGACTTCAATAGAAGGATAATTTTTAAAACCACCTGGAAGACCATCTCTATAGTGATTTTCCCAGGACCATGTATCAGATGTAACCTAACCGAATACCACCTTAACTGGCAGAGGTTCAAGCTGGAGTTGTGTGCCCCTCCCCCACAGCAAGTTTACTCTAAGGGTTATTATAATACAAACTCCACAAGGAAAAGAACTTCGGTATTTCCTCTTGGTAGAGAAAAACTCAACCTAGTTAGGAGACCAACCACAACACAAAGAAAAGCTGCACTAACTAGTTTAGATTATTATTAACAGATGATGCTGGTGTGAATAACTCGGTATTATAGTCTAGAGCCCTTATAAATAAAATCCCCCCATTAGTGTTTGCATTAATCAGCTAGAGGGTTAGTTAACATGTGGTAGAATGAGGACTTATGCAAGGTATAATTTGCAAAGCATTTTACTATTATGAAAACAAGTGCAGTCTAGTTAGGAGAAAACCAACTTGACTTTAAATTACACACACCTTAATGACAAGACTCCCCACCACATGTGAATGTAAAACATTTAATTTAAAAATGTTGACACTACAATATATAAAATAGCTATTATAAATGCACATAGTGTATTCTATAGCTGCCAGGTTTACTTTTTTTTTTTCTTTTTCTTTTTTTTTTTAAGGAAACTGTAAGTTACACTGTGGTTAAGACTTGTATCTTCACCCTTGAAAAAGCCCACATTCTATCACAGTGATGTATGGTCAGACTTAACAGCCCCAATTGTTAAACACTTGGATCAAGTCATAACCAGTTTTATTGCAAAAGGACCCTGTACACATTTATCAATTCTAGTACCTTAATAGCTACCCAACAAGTCATTAACATACAGAAACATGCATCATGAGAAGCAAGAAGTATCACCCATCCCTTCTGCATATTAGCAACTTGTCACTCCTGAGCAACAGTGCTCACATCACTGAGGTCTGTGAACAGTCACTTTTCGCATTCATCCTGAGTGAAAGATGGAATGACTTAAGTACAAATGCAACATATTATAAACAATTTCTTACAAAAAAAGTCACAAATTAAACCAAAGTATTTTACAGAATTTACTACAAAACACCATAAAAACTGCCTTCACTTAAGCTCTCTCTCCCCGTATCCGGCGAGCCAACTGGATGTCTTTGGGCATGATGGTGACTCTCTTAGCGTGGATGGCACACAGATTAGTATCTTCAAATAAACCCACCAGGTACGCTTCACTGGCCTCCTGTTGAGGACAAGAGCCACACTATTAAACTCTCTTCGCGGAGAAGCCACGCACGAGCCCTCCGACCCTACACAGCCGCGCTCGCCTTACCTGAAGGGCGCCAATGGCGGCGCTCTGAAACCTCAGATCGGTTTTGAAATCCTGGGCGATCTCCCTCACCAACCTCTGGAAAGGCAGCTTCCGGATCAGAAGCTCGGTGGATTTCTGGTAACGACGGATCTCCCGAAGCGCTACGGTGCCGGGCCTGCAGCGAGCAGGGGAGTGTAAGCGGACACCCGGGGACGGACCGAGCCCGGCGCCAGCCCCAGCCCCAGGACGCGCTCCCGCACGGGCCGCGCGCCGCCCCGTCATTGTCTGCCTGCCGCCTCGCCTACCTGTAGCGATGAGGTTTTTTCACCCCACCGGTGGAAGGGGCGCTTTTCCGGGCGGCTTTAGTGGCCAGCTGTTTGCGGGGCGCTTTCCCACCCGTGGATTTACGGGCAGTCTGCTTGGTTCGGGCCATTTTCTTTTACCTAAGGAAGACATCCGTGATTCCGGGGCCCCGGCGCTCGCCCCCCTGGGGGGTCACGGGGGGACGGGCTCGGCGCCCCTGCCCTCCCGCCCCTTCACCGCGGCAGATGGCCCGGGGCCGCCGCCTCCTCCCCCTCCCCTAATGACTCAGGCTGCGAGGAGCGGCAGCAGCCTCCCCCGGGAGGGGGGGTGCGGGGAGGAGTCACTTCCCCTCCTCGACGGGCGGAGGCCCCGCTTGCCCGGAACCCGGCGTCGGGACATCTGAATCACCACCGGGAAAGAGGCGGAGACGCGGTTCCGGAACGAAGCCCCAAGGGGAAACCTCCCGGACCCACACCCGACGCCGGCGGCCCGAGCAGCCCGCACCAGCCAGCACTCCGCTCCCAACGGCTGAGGCCCGCGGCATTAACGGCCGACGGGGCCTCGAACCACGAGCAAACCCGCCAACGCTTACCCAATGCCGAAGTCTTAGACCGCTTCTTCGACCGCCGCGCCGCTCCTGCTGCCCAGTGAAGAGCCGCAGTCGCCGAGCAAGGAAAAAGGAGACCCTCCAACGAACGACCAAACCGCTCTGTGCTCTAAACCCCCCCTTTGCTTCCGCTTTTATACCCACGCTTCACGCTGCGTCCCTGCGTCATAGGGGCCTCATTTGCATACACCAACGACTTTTTCTATTGGCGGGAGCTTTCGCCGACGCGCTGACATCCCCGACACAAAGGCCGTGCTTCGGCCCAGCTCCCGGATTGGTGGGCATCTATGCCGCTGATTGGCTGTTAAAGTGGCCTAATGATTGGATGAATGCAAAGAGGAATGGACGAATCAGAGGTTAGCACGAAGCGGCTCTTCTGATTGGATAAAATGAAGCTATGTTTGGATCCTTCCCTCGGTTCCAAAGCTCTACAATAGAAAGTCAATGCAAATGAATTGCATTGGTCTGTATGAGGACTTCAGGGTCGGGATGGTTAGGAATCCAACCAAATTCGCATCTCTCCAATAAAATGCAGGAGGAGAGATTACTTCAGGGAAATTCTTGTAAATATTTTCCAATGTAAAATAAAATGTGTTCCTGTGACTATTTACTTTCACATATTGATAGTTACGTATATAGAGTAAAAGAATTAGAATTCAGCAAATCATGTTGTGCCACCAAGTATTTCATGTATCACGCACATACATTTTAACCAAAAAGCAGTTCTTTTGTTTGGTGGTGTGGGTAGGGGTAAATAATAGACAAAAAAATATGTCAGTGTATGGTTTTATAAGAACTGTTTTGTACATTCTTAGGCTATCACAAAATACTTTGTGATTTCAATAGTTTAAGGAAGTAGCCTTCTAACCAACATTTTTTTGAATTATGTAATTCAACTGAATGAAATGACTGCAGCCAAAATGGAAATAGTCCTAGTACAACATTTACATGTCCATAAGGAATAAACAGAAGAAAACGAAATTAACATGTGCCCTTGTATATAGTGGTATATTGTCATCCCTTCTAAGAAACACGACAAATGTATAAAAATGGTAATCCCTACTTTTGCCTAAATAAATGTCTTTGATAATTTGTAATGTTCAGTTCTCCTGATGATACAGGTATATAGAATACCAAAGCAGGGTATAGTTTGAGACCAGCCAAACTAAACTCAGAAAACCGAAATAGAGTTTTGTGCATTTTATTTTATTGTTTATTTATTTATTTATTTAAAGATTTTATTTATTTATTTGACAGAGATCACAAGTAGGCAGAGACCAGGCAGAGAGAAAGGAGGAGGCAGGCTCCCTGCTGAGCAGAGAGCCCCATGCGGGGCTTGATCCCAGGACCCTGGGATCATGACCTGAGCTGAAGGCAGAGGCTTTAACCCACTGAGCCGCCCAGGCACCCTGAGTTTTGTGCATTTTATTCCATAGTTCCTACTCTGGGTTTACTGATTTTTTTTCCCCTGAGTATTTTAAATCATCCAAATTCCGTGTACATGTAGATTTCAACTCAAATAATTATTGTACATAAACACAAATACCTCAAAAATTTACTTGTGACATCGAAGGTCTGCTCTCAGTATCAACAGCGAGGGGGGAAATGCTCGATATGAAGAAGCTGCTATGGTAAAAATGTCTTTCACCCAATCTCTGGTACCAAATTCCTCTCATTTCTGCCCTCTCAATTTTAACAGGCACAATTTGTATTTAAATATCACATATGTAAACTTTTATGCGATAATTTGGTCAACTTTAATTCCTGCCTTCAGCACAAAGTTTACAGTAGGGGAGGAATTAAGTTTTCTGTTTCATTCATGTGATGCTGAGAAACCAAGATGGAGGCTCTTGCCCTGTCCTCAGAACCTGAGGAAAGCTAAGAATCAGGGCACTGGTTAGATCCCACACAAAAGGCTCTCAAATGTTCTGGGATGTAACCAGAAAAATACCCTGTTAACATTTTTTGACTGCCCAAATGGCCTGGAGAGGGAATTGGTTCCTAAATTAACAACCCCTTTGTGTTCCAAGGATTTTCTAAAAGATCCAGAATCCTGTCTGTCCCAAGACTCCAGAGGACAGACACTCCAGTTTTGTTTTCTTTCTTGCAGTTTGGCTGATTACTAGAGGAGAACTAACTGCTCCAGCAGAAACTAGGTAAAGATTTACATTTATCCACTTAAAGGACCATTAGTGGGAATAGTCTGTCCTTCTTACTCGGCCGTCAAGCAGCTTTTTCTTTTTCCTAAGTTAGCACGGGAGAGGAAAAGCAACACAGGAAATGGGAAAGAACTAAAAATGTTTATACAATCAAAACAATGTGGAATGTGATGCAGCATGTAGGCTACTGTCCCAGTTCCTGTTCTGGCATGGTCTCTGTGCAAGTTACTTCTCTGAGTTTTGGTTTCCTCTTTTGTAAATTAAACAGTTTGGATGATATCATCTCCCAATTTTACCAGTACACACTCATTCTGAAGCTTATGGTATACAGCTTATTTAAAGCCTTGTGCTGTGAACTCTATTTCTTCATTCACATCGCGCTTAGGTATTTTGGGGATAACATACAAGTCAATTTCTTGGATTTAATAACAGCGTTAAAACAATACACTACAACTTTTATTTGTCCTTTTGGAATTTTTCATCTTCACACGCCCCTAGTGGTTAAACAATTGATTTGGCCCGTTTAGGAAATACCAGTTTCTCAACTTTGTGGGCTGACAATTTGGCTTCTGATGTGAGGTTACTTGGGACTAAATAAAATAAGTGTCATTCTCAAACATTAACAGTTTTCCGTTCACTCCTCCCTCCCGCATCCCTAAGGTTATTGGGAACTTTCTCTATAACGTGACAATCACTAGACTAGTTAACCTATCTAATCAAATATGAATCAGTCTTAAACACAAGGGATTTAAATAGATTTATTATGGAAAGCAAAGTTAAATGACAAGTGTCAATATTTTATCTATGAAGAACTTCATAGGGGGTGGTGCCTGGGTGGCTCAGTGTGTTAAAGCCTCAGCCTTGGGCTCAGGTCATGATTTCAGGGTCCTGGAATCGAGCCCCCCATCTGGCTCTCTGTTTGGCAGGGAGACTGCTTCCCTTCCTCTCTGCCTGCCTCTCTGCCTACTTGTGATCTCTGTCAAATAAATAAAATCTTAAAAAAAAAAAAAAAAACTTCATAAAGGTGGAATTGGCTGATTTGACAAAAGCCACAGAGTGAAGAACTTCGCCCGACGAGTGGGAATCGGGCTCGGAAAACACAGAAAAGCTGACTTCCGGAGCAGGAAACTGCAGTGGGTCATCAACCGCACCCCCGACTCAACCCCAGGTTCTGCCTCTGGACACTAGGCGACGCTTCTCAACACCCCTGCAACTTGCTAGTGTACCTGAGACTGTTCTAGACGGAGATTAAATACGTCCTTGGCCCCTAACGTACTGGAAACAAGTCGGTCAGGCCAGGCGTCGAGCTGGGGAGGGACCCAAGCCGTGGAGTTCCAGGTTTCAGGGTTGGTAAAGGTTTACGCGCGCCTCAGCAAAGACGCGGGAACGGAGTACTGCGTCGTGCAGCTCTACTTTAGCAAAGATTTCTCAGGCTGACTTCTGGTAGGCAGACTTTCCTTCATGCCTCCCCCGTTAGCCTGGCCGCAGGAATGAAGAGGATGTTGGCGGACTGCAGGTGCCTGCAGCACAAAGGCCCAGAGCTAAGGACGGACAATACAGATTCTGAAGCACTGCCGGGGCCGGCATCAGCACTGAACCTAAGACCTAGTAAGTCTGGTGGCGAGATAATTATTACACTGTTAGTGGTGAAACTACACTTGGACTGTTTCACAGAAGTCGTCAGGGCCTCTCTAGCTACGGGCCCTTTCCACTCCAGAGGCTCCAGTTTCAAAGAAAGCTCTCCTAGAAACTGGAAACGCACTGTTAAGAAGTAGGAACGCAGCAGGACTGCAATCCCCACAAGCCGTGGCGGGCCCTGAGCATCCGGGACACCGTCTGCAAGGATCCCTGGGTATTGTGGTCCATTCCTTTGGCAGCAACCCTCTGCCGACGGTAAAATTCCAGCCGAACCGAGGACCACAACTCCCAGCAACCCTTGCTGCCGTGCGGGGGGTCTTCACGTTCTCGTGGCGCGGCGCAGGCGCACTGGGTCCTCGGCGCGGACCGCGCAGACTGAATAATAAAAGGGGAGCGGCGAAGAGGCAGGAAGACAGGACCATGTCGAAGGGCCCCGGGCCCGGCGGCTCCGCAGCTTCCTCGGCGCCCCCGGCCGCTACCGCTCAGGTGCTGCAGGCACAGCCCGAGAAACCGCAGCACTACACGTACGTAGAGCCCCCCCCCCGCCGCGCGCGCACGCCTGACGTCAGCGGCCAGCGTGAGTCACGCGCGCAGGGAGAGCGCGAGGCGGCCTCTCCCTCCCCCCCCCTTCTTCCTCCGGCCCGGCCCAGACCGGTTCCAACCTGCTGGGGCCGGTCCCAACTGCCTCCAACTGCCACCAACCCCTGGTCGGGCGGTGGGGCGGGAAAGCCGGGCCCCGCCGCTGAGTGGGGAAGGCGGGAGTGCGGGGTCCGGAGAGCGCACATCTGAGGCCGGGCCTGTGAGGCCTAACTGTTCCTCAGACCTAAAACCCCAGTATCAGGCCCTTGGGGGGCGATCAGAAGCCCAGACCAGAACCAGGATGAGCGCCCCGGGGGCCGGCCCTGCCGCCGCTGCGAATGACGGTTGGCACGAGGTTCTGTTAGGCGCCCCGCGTTCCGTGCCTGGGAGGCCTTTTGTGTCCCCGAAGCCCGTATGTTGTCTGTGGAGGCCCCTCTTGCTTGGAACTCGCAGGGACAGCCGACCCGGCCTGAGTCGGGGACCCCGAGGGCGATGGGGTCCGAGCGCGTCTTCAGGCCCAAGCGAAGTACGGTAGCAGAGGGAGCCCCGACGCTCGCCCCGCAGGAGTCCAGTAGATGGAAAACCCGCTCCCTGGGAATCTGCCTATGTTTGAGGGGAGGTCCCTGCCTCCTTGTGTCCTTCCAGGCACGTTAAAAGACCACCTAGTGCGAGGTGCCTCGGGAGAAAGCAAGCTGCAGAGGCGAGCCCTCCTGTTCAGCAAAATGTTGGTTTCC